CAAATATGCTGCTAAAAATGTTCCAAGTGACAAAGAGAAATGTATGATATTGCAGTATGTTTGTTGAGTATATTTTGCAAAAACATGGATGAAAAGCTACGAGCGTGCTGGCCTGTGTGTGTATGCTTACTCAACTGTAGGTTTCAGACACCCCAACTGAATAATTCAGGTTTCATGTCTTGTTGCCATGGCTGTCTGTGAATTTTTGCTTTGTAGGACATACATGTTCACCCCACCCCCACCACACACAATAATATGAGAAAGTTTACAGATGTGCACACCGCCAGCTTAAATACACACAGACCAATGAGAGAAAGAAGTGAGAGACAGCGGTTGCGATTCACTCTCTCACCGTCTCCACCTCCTCCCTGGCTCCTGTTGTTGTTCAAACTTTAATCAGCTCATCCATGCTGGAGGCTTCCCCGCTGTTGCAACACAATGGGCCCAGTGTGAAGAACGGCAACGTGTTTCCCCTTTTAACACCTTATCACTGCAGTCATGGCTTGCTCATGAATCAGAGTTTAATTTCAAAACCAACTCTGAGGCAGGAAAATCCAGTTGTTCTCACTGATTCTTTAACTGTTGCTCATATTGTAATCTTAGGAGAGAGAGAAAGGTTACTTGATACTTTGGAAACATGAAGTACTTGGTCTTAAATTCAAGTCAAGTATGAGATGAAGATGTGAAACGTTAACATACAGCTCACACATTCTTGATTTGGCATGCTATCATATGGAGGTAAGCTGGGCCCATAAAGTTTTTTTTTTCTACCAGCTTTTATTGCCACAAGTACAGAGCAATGAAATGAACTCTCTGCATTTAACACATCCCCTTGGGGAGCAGTGGGCTGCCACTGTGCGGCACCCAGTGAGCAGTGTGGGGTTAGGGGTCTTAGCTATGCAAGCCCTCTTTAAAAAAATCCTGTAAGGCGTATTCATCAGGGTACATCTGGGCTGTAGTTACTCTGTTTAACCCATGTCATGTATTTTATTTTGGGCTGAAACAATTAATTGGTTTAATCAATTATTGAAACATTGTCAACAAATTTAGCAATCGATTGATAGTTAACTGGAGTATAGAGACCTAAAACATGTTTTAGCCCACAGAGCGACCCACTTAGAGCAGGAATTATACCAAAATTGTAAAAAAACAATTATAAAAATTTTGCATTTTAGATAAAACATATTTTCATCTGTCAATATTCTCCATCCAGAACTCCTCTACTGCTGCAACAACGCTGTATTGTAAATTATAAACATGTTATTCACATCTAATTGTTGGTAGGGACAAGTAGGTCGGTCCAAAATGTTGGTAGGGACATGTCGCTATGGTCCCTATACTTTAATAATCCCAGGGCGAAATTGCTTTCGTTACATGACTTTATATGTATAGAGTGACTATAGGACCAGTTTGATGTAACACAATTTCATACAATATATTTAATTAGGGGGTCCCTGCTCCATCTCCCCATCAGTTTGGGGGTCCTTGGTCTGGAAAATGTTGAAGACCCCTGCTTTAAGGCATTTCTTCAGTTTTGTAGCCATTTAAAGCTTTGATTTAAATTAACTCCAATTCCAACCTTGCTCTTTTGGGGGGAATGTTGTCCTAGTGGTTAGAGCAGTACTCTTGTGCTCTGAGAAGGTTGCAAGTACCCGGGTTTGATCCCCACTCTGGGTCCCTGAGCAAGACCCTTAACCCCACACTGCTCCCTGGGCGCCGCATAATGGCAGCCCACTGCTTCCCAAGGGGGTGGGTTAAATGCAGAGTGAATTTCATTGCTTTTTACTTCTGACAATGTAATGAAAAAGTTTCATTCTATTCCATTGCCTATTTTTTGGAAGCTTCAACTCACTCTGCTGAGAAAGACTCAGTGAACGACTTTAACACAATCCGGCTCTTTATAGATCTGATCCAAATGAGCCGGATCCCGGAAAAGGATGCGGAAAGCCCACAGCGCTGCTCTCCCAGGGCCAGCGAAGAGGGATTCGTCTTTGTACTCAAGCAGAGTAGTTGAAGTCAGCTCTGTCTCCACTGCCTTCTCCTTTTTTTTTTAAAGAAGCAGGGAGTCTAAATGCTGGAAATATCCCTATAAGCCGGTTACCAGTCCACTTTAACCGCAGTAGACGGTCTGTTGTATTGTTTTGTGCAAGCGGACATCCCTTGTTATATCTTTTTGAGCCCTTTTGGACGACAAAAGATTTCCTTTTTTTCCCCTTACCGGGTGGATTTTTAAGTCATACAGAGAAAATTCATACAGTTGCAACACATCCCTCCCGTTTTTTCCTCCTTTTTTATATTTCCACACCTCCATACAGGGGGGTGGGGGGTCTATTTTTTAAAGTCATCCTTTAACCGAGCGACAATGGCAGCTGTAACGAGCCCGGAGACCAGCCCTCAACCGCGGGTATATTTCCAGACGCCGACCGGCACCACGGAGGAACCGGAGCCCCCAGTCAGGAAGCAGGGACGGGTTACCGTCAAATACGACCGCAAGGAGCTGAGGAAGAGACTGAACCTGGAGGAGTGGATCATCGACCAGCTAACGGACCTCTACGACTGCGAGGTAAAACAAGAAACCGAACAGAACCCATCAATCAGACCCCCCTGCTGTACTAACTATTAATCAATACCGATTTAAACCCGATACCGAACCAACGGTCCACTAAGAAACCCGATTAAGAAGTTACTCGTTTATTTTGGCCTGGCTTTGTTCACTTCTCAGCTCAAAATGGGGAAAAACCGGGGAGATGTGTCTGTTTTCATGTCACAAGAGACAACAAACTCTAAACAAGTAATTCATAATTGTATTTAGGTATATTTATTTTTGGTTGTCAGGAGAATTGGCTTCAAGCTTCTCATCCTGTCTCCTACAGGTTGGCTAAATGTGGCACATGGTGCTTTATAGCCTCGTGGTGAAGCTGGCAGCATGGCTCTTTGTTCTGATTGGCTGACACAGGTTTAAAGCACACCTGTTAATTTTTTTAAATTATTTTAATTGCTGTAGATTTTGTTAGTGTGTTCTTCTGTTGTGAGAAGGGAATTAGTTAGTCGATTCCAAGAAAATAAATTAATTAAATATACAAGATATTTTGGACAAACTTTCTACTTCTAAATGTTTTTATGTATTTAATGAATTACCTTAGGAAAACGAAACTGATTACAAGAATCTAAGATTTATTACCTTAATTATTATAATTTTATTTATTTATTTTCTTTTTGTTTTGTGGGAGAATGTATATATAGCATCCCGATCCACACTCCATTCCAGTAGATGGCAGTAATGCACATCAATAAGTTACTCGCCAACCGCCATAAGAAAAGAAGAATAGCTGCAGATTTTCTCACCCTTTTCTTATCTTATTTTCCTGGCTCTCATTTGCATTTTTTATTTTTAACTTTATAGTATTTTAATGTAGTCTTAACTTTTAAAGCAAATACCACGTCAAAGGAAAAGGTTGTTTGTTTGGGTTTTTCATTGCAGAATTTTCTTTTCTTCTTTTTTATGCTTTTCAGTTTATTCTGTATCATCCATCCCTATTTCTTTCTAGAGGAAGTATTTTGTCATGTACTCTAAATCTGAAAGTCAGGAATCGGGAATAGTGGGGATTTTTTTTTTAACTAAGACCTTAATGATAAGATTGAACTCTTAACCTTTGTTAGCTTAAAAGGAATCCAACCAACCATCAAATTTGCATATGTGCAATCAGATATTCATAATCAAAGAATGCTAAACTACATCTTATAAAAAAATATATGTTTATCAACTTTTTTGAGAGAACTGGATCCATTTTACATTATCTCCGTTTATTTGCTTGTCTGAAGTCATTTGACATGCTCAGAGCAGTCTGGTAAAATATGATTACACCAAGTTTAACTGCATATTAGTTGCATCCTTCTATAGTGTATGCACTAAATATAGGAAAGCACAACAAAACGCAAACAAAACTTAAAAAAAAAATCCAAAGCCAAAAAATTAGTAGGATCCCCTTCTCCGGGACAGAGTGGGCACAGGCAAGTGAGATTAACCTTTTTACAGGCTATTGTAGTACATAGAAACACCCAAAAATTGAGGAGTATCTTTTATGCATATTGCAGACTTAAGTTAATATGATAAAGCATCATATTTAGTATTTATTTAGAGTAAGTGATGCTACGTTGACAGAGAGCTGAGGTTTTTTTTCATCATAGAGAAGCTGTAAGATCACAATTTTAAGACTGAATCTCAGCTGGGCTCCCTGATCAAGACCACATTCCTCCGACCTGTCTCTCCCTAACTGTTAGCCACAGCTAAAGGTGAGTCCTAACAATGAGTTGGACGGGTGTGTCTGATGATAGGGGTCTGGTTCAGTGACTCTGGTCCCTCCAGCTGAAATGATAACTGGACATATAACCATCAGGAGCATCCTCCTTCATGCTTCACCTCATCAGACCCTCGGTCACAGCGACACTTGAAGATCCGTGCAATTGTTGTGATGTAGCCCGGAGGGGGTGGCTGTGTGGCGTATAATGCTGCCGTCAGTAGTTGGTAAGCTCGTCTCCTGTCCACTGAGCTGGCATTGACCCACATTCTATTCCCGGTGCTGGGGAGAAGGAAGATTTAGAAGGGCTCAAGAATCCCTATGAGTAATTCATGGAAATAAAGGATGAGCCAGAGTTTTACAGACCTAAGACCAGGTTCTATGGTGACGCTGGTGTTACACTAAGAAATGGTCGATACTCGTCTCTTTGGTCCTCTAGCTTGTTTAACACTTAATATGGCTTCTCTAAATTAGTTTTGGGGTCAAAGGTCGACAATTGGTGCATTCACACTGCTTTCCTGGTCCAGGGATCAGTAAAGAAAATGAACACTTTTCTTTCACTCTTAAGGCTGATTTATACTTCGAAACAAGGATGTCTGCGTAGGAGTTGTGGTGAACGCAGAGACGTCCCCGCCCCTGCCGCAGACACTCTGTTGCACCTCTCCCAAATTGTAGGTGACTGCAGACAGGAGGCCTCTGATTGGTCAAATCTGCATTTACTCTACTATCATTAATATACACAGCAACACCATTTAACTTATTTAGTTCCTTCAGTTCTATGTTGCTATGTATGGTATTGGGCGATTTGCTCAGCCTAGTTTAGGTTCGAAAAACAGGATCTCTATAGGCAAGTCATAAGAATCCAATAAATATATTTCAAGGGACCAAAAAAAAAACACCTAAACACCCCCTGTGTCTGACATGAACATGCTAAAGGTAAATGAAGGACTGGCTTCTAAAGGTAATCCTCTAATTAGCGACGGCCGAACTGTCTGCTTGCGATGTCAGTGAACCCAGTTCTGTTGTCTGCGATGCCTTTTGATTCTCCAGACGACGTCCATCCCGTCTCTGAAGGACCTCTCTGTGTAGACTGGACATGTCCTGTGAAATGACACCGCTGACAGAAAGCCAGCAGAGGGGATTAATGGGACCTTAAGAGGATCAACATGCTTTGATTTTTCTGCCAATGTTGGGTTAATATGATCATCTACAGACCCTCTATTGTTAAAAAAAATGCACATTTTGGCAGCTGAACTGTTTAATCTGCTCAATCATGGATGTTTTAATGCACAGAAAATCTGTGTGGTTATTTAAGCCTTAAACAGGTGTAGAGGGCTAAAAAAAAGGTTCACAAAAGCACCATGTCATCTCATACTAGCAGTTATGCAACAATATTGTTATATTTTATACCTTCTCACATTCCCAATTCGCTGCCTATTTTTGCCGTCCATCCCCTGTGGTTTCCCCCTCTTCATTGTCCTGATCTAGTCTGTGCCGAGGCTGTTAGACAACAAAGAGATTAATTTACAGTCGGTTCACTGATGGAGACGCACTGGGCTCAGCTAGAGTGGGAGATGTGAAGCACGTGCAACCCAACATTGTAACTGAAGAGGCACGTTTAGCAGGTCAGAGGCACCCTGGTTTTATTTTAAACAAAAACTCACTTTTTCACTTTACTCTTATCCTTATTATGAGCTTATTAATCAAAGTATGTTTTCTAATACTATTTTAATTGAATATACTACAATAAAACTGTTAAAATATACTCCAATGTGTTCAGAAGGGAATTAATTTGGTGCTATTTAACATTCATATAATCATAGCAAAGATGCTGCAAGCAGCCAGCCGGGTGGTTCCTGCCAGGCAGCTCGTCAGCTACTCATCCAGCCACTCAGCCAGAGTTGCTATGGGTATTTAGTGAGGAGTCACAGCATAAATCCATGGCAACAAGGCTTGCTAAATGCTTGCACTGGTTAACCGGGCTTTAAAGAGTACAACCTGCTTCTGGTTAGCTAAGGAAAACCTGGTAAGGTTCAAACATGTTCAAAAATGAAGCTCCAGGTTTTTATTGATGCAGTGTTATGATTAGCTAATCTGCAAAGGGGAGTTTG